GAGGTAAATGTAGCCTTTGTTCAACAAATGCTATTACTGTTCTAACATATCCATTTTTTTAAAGACAAACAAGATTCATGCAAATTCATGTCACTAAGAGTAACATGTGGGACTGGAATGGTGCCCAGAAAAAGGTACAAGGATCTAAGTAAATAAACACTAAACAAGCAATTCATTATCTGACTTTCCGTCATGGGGCACACACTCATGCTTCAAAATGAAAACATAAAGAAAAATGACCTCTAAAAGCTATAAAGACAACTATTCCTTCATGAATCTCCACAGAGCTCTTCGTGAGCCAATATATGAATATCCTAGGCTTTCAGGGACAGATTTTTTCATGTTTAATTTATGTAGTACCTTTTTGTTAAAGTGCTAAACGTATTTTAAAACCCTTTAGATCATGTCTCTATTTTATGTTACACTTATTTTTCTAAGGCAAATTCACTATCTAAAAATTACATGTTCTAGAGTTAACTTTTTTCTCCACCATATCTTAAAATACTAGTTAGTGTACTCTAACTAGTCTATACGAAGATAAACATTTTATGCTGCTTAGACAACAGACAAATTATTGTAACATGAAAAAAACGGTTTTAAACTTAACATGTTTGTTCAAGATATTAAGATATTAAGGTATTTTCTGGATGAACAATTATTATTTTTTATTTCTGTTTATAAAATATATTGGGGTAACATTGGTTAATAAGACCAAAGTACTGCAGAGGCCACTGTTCCTTTGATGAGTCCTTCCACCACAGAGCCCATAGGCAGGAGCCATATCTGGGACTCCATCAACTTGGCTCATGCTTTTTGTCCTGCCCTGGTAATCTCTGAGGCCTACTCCAGCCAATATTTAGGCCCACCCAAGGTGTCTCCTGTGGCTTTTCCATAGGAATGGCCTGCCATGGCTCATGTTTCATATTTTCTTAAAATCTCCCAAACACGCAGCATTTGGCTTCAGCACAACCCATGCCTCTTGCTAAGTGGCCACTCATGGGCACCTTCAAGCCAAGCACAAGTAGCAACCATCTATAGATCACTTTGTAGCTCATGCTGGGGAGCCCTGAGCAAAACACAGGCAGTGGCTGACCTTGGCGTGTACCTTCTAGGAGTCCCCAGAGACAGTACACTCAGTGGACAGTTTCAGACCACATAGAAGCACCATCCAACTACCTCCACAAGTGATACACTCAAGGGACGGACTCAGTGGGTACCAGAACCCTGCTAAAGCAGTCCTGCTCTGTGGGGTGGGTCCCTGCAAAGCTAATCCTCCACAATGGTAGGAGTTTGGTAGTGGAAGTCAGTCCTTGCAGCTGATCAGCTTGGGGTAAATCCCTCTCATTGATGTGCCAACAGCAATCAAGGCTCAACAAGAGGAGAGTGTAAGCCTACATGGAGGGGGGTGCACTTTGATTACCCAGCTTAGGTGATCAGGGAGGCTGTGCCAGCCACTGGACCATACAGAACACTGACTACCTTAGCCCATTATACCAAGCCTAGGAGATGTATCAACTCTACCTAATACGTAGAAACAAATACAGGAGGCTACCAAAATGAGGAGACAAAGAATCACATCACAAATGAAAGAAAAGAACAAACTCTAGAAAAAGCACTAAAAATAATGGAGACAAGCAATCTACTAAAGGCAGAGCTCAAAACACTGGTTATAAGGATTCTCAATGAACTTAGAACCTCAACAGCATTAAAAAAAGGACTAATCAGAAATGAACGATACACTAGATGAAATGAAGAATAAATGACAGGGAGAATAGATGAAGCTGAGAATCAAATTGGCTATTTGGAATATAAGGAAGAAAAAAAACAAAACACCCAATCAGAACTGCAAAAAAAGAGAAAAGATTTCAAAAAAATGAAAATAGTGTAAGGAGTCTCTGGAGCAACTACAAGCATACCAAAACATTTGCATAATGGGAGTGCTGGAAGGAGAAGAGAAAGAGAGAGAAATTTAAAACTTATTTGAAAAAATAATGACAGAAAACTTTCCTAATCTGGTGAAGGAAAAAGACATACAAGTACAGGAAGCACAGAGAGTCCCAAACAAGAGGAACCCAAAGATGCCCACACCAAGACACCTCATAATTAAAATGCCAAAGGTTAAAGACAAAGAGACAGTCTTAAAAGCAGCAAGAGAAAAGCAGTTAGTTACCTACAAGGGAGGTCCCATGAGAATGTCAGTTGATTTTTAAAAAGAAACTTTGAAGGCCAAAAGGGATTGACAAGAAATATTCAAAGTGAGGAAAAGCAAGGGCCTATAGCCAAGATTACTTTATCCAGCAAAGCTATCATTTAGAAGTGAATGATATTTAAAGAGCTTAGCAGACAGAAAAAAGTAAAGGAGTTCATCACTACCAATGTTAAAGGGTATTTTTTTAAAAAGAAGAAGAAAATAAAGATAAAATATGAACAGTAAAATGGCAATAAATATATTCTTTGAAAAGATTAATAAAATTTACAAAGCATTGCTAGACTCACTGAGGAAAAGTGAGAAAAGACACCTAATAAACAAAACCAGAAATTAAAGAGAAGTTATTGTAGACATCACTGAAATACAAAGGATCATACAAGAATACTATGTAAAACTATATGCAACCAAATTCAATAACCTAGAACAGGGGTGGGCAACCCCTGGCATGCGTGCCAAACATGGCACGCCAGTAACTTTTGCTGGCACGTGAAACCCTCTCTTATAATCTTCCATTTACAATTTTTTTCTTAATATCGACTTTTTTATTTTTCAGATAAATTCAGTGTAGGTGCATCTTAGATAAATAAATAATTTTACATAACAAGTTATCTTAAAGACCATAGACATGGATTGACGAGAGAGGGGAAGAGCAATTTCTATGCCTCTGCCTTAACTCTCCCTGCCTTCCTAGATCCGACCAGTGTTTTGGTTTCATCCACATACGCTTGTGAATCTTTGTTCTCAGTGATGAATTTTGTTAAGTCTCATAATAGGAGTAGCCTGACGGATGAAAGTAGTAGCTCGTGCATATCTCTGAAGGTCACGAAATATAAACCTGATGTAAAATCTCTGTCATCAGTGATGCAGCAGCAAAAGTCCCACTGATAATATCAAACGGAGTCATAAAGTTTTCTGTCGGACTATCAGTGTACATGTATACATTAAAAAATAAATGTATTTTTCATCATCATATACTGTGTTTTTGTCGCTCGAATGAATTTTATTATTTCTTCAAGGTTCTTCACATACGTACACCTTAAGAGATATCAAGTAGGCGTAACATGTTCTCAAAAAATTAGGGTTGGCACGCAGAAGAGTTTTGAGTCAGAGATTTTGCTGGTTTTGGCACGCACTCACAAAAAGGTTGCCCACCCCTGACATAGAAGAAATGGATGAGTTACTAGAAATATATAACACTCCTAGACTGAATTATGAAGACCTGGAAAACCTAAGTAGACCTATCAATAGTGAGGAAATTGAAACAATCATCAAAAACCTCCCAATAAATAAAAGTTAAGGACCAGATGGCTTCACTAGTGAATTCTACCAAACAGTCAAAGATTTGATACCTATTCTTTGTTCAAACTCTTCCAAAATATTGAAGAAGAGGCAGTACTTCCTAACACATTTTATAAGACCAACATAATCCTGATACCAAAACCCAGCAAGGATAACACACATACACACAAAAACTGCAGACCAATATCTCTGATGAATACAGATGCAAAAACCCTAAACAAAATATTATCAAATTGAATACAAGAACACTTTAAAAATAATATATCATGATCAAGTAGGGTTCACTGCAGAGGCACAAGGATGGTATATGCAAATCGATCAATGTAATACACCACATTAACACAACAAAGGATAAAAAAAATCATACAACTGTATCAATAGATGCAGAAAACGAATTTGATAAGATAAAACATCCATTTATGATTAAAACACTCAATAAAATGGTTACAGAAGGAAAGTGCCTCAACAAAATAAAGGAAGTATATGACAAATCCTCAGCTAATATCATATTCAATGGGGAAAAACTGAAAGCTTTTCCTCTAAGATCAGGAACAAGACAGGGATGTCCTCTCTCACCATTGTTATTCAACGTAGCACTGGATGTCCTGGCCAGAGTAATCAGGCAAGAGAAAAAAATAAAAGGCATCCAAAATGGGAATGAAGAACAATTTATTTATATACCCATAAAAAGTTATATAAAAGATACATGTCAGTAGATTCTTAAGAACACATAACAAAAAGGAAAATTTAAACAGATCCTAAAATTTGATCCAATTGACTCACGTAAGTTTTAAGGTAAAACATAATAATCGAAGACTATTTACTTAGTGTAATTCAGACAAGAGCATATCTTAGTATCTAAATAATAAATCCCAGAAAAAATGTTATTTAAATATAAAAATGCACAGATAAATGATCCTCCGCTTTATAAAAAAAAGCAGGTATATTCTTATTTCAATCCTAAACCAGCCTGCAGGCCTGATGTGGTTGTAAAAGATTTTATCCTCAGATAACAGGGCAGCATAGTTTATGACAACAATCTACCTAAAAACTCATTAAAGTTTTTTTTCTTTTGGAGTGACATGCATTATCAGCAGAGATTAATCTGATGAGTCTTTAGGTGAGCTCCATTTTTAAAAATGCAATAACAGAGGGCTTTGTTGTCATCTGATGAAAATCAATTAGAGGAGGTAAGGCCACAAGGAAAACTAAAATCACTCATCACCCACCCCCGGCAGCTGAAATGATTTGTCTTCCAAGCTTGGATGATCAGGAGCTATAGTCATATTGCAGGGAAATTAATTTAGTTTCTATATTCTGAACTCACTTTCCTTGTTCTGGAGGATCTAAACACAAATTACTTTTAATCAAGGTTGATATGTTATTAACACCAAGGAGGATCTTTGAAGAATCATTTTTTAAAAATTGACTTTAGCATTTTTCACCTGTGCTTGGGGTGTAACTATAGGAAGGTAACTTATATCATCCTTACTTTCTGGATTCTTTGTCCACAACAAGGCACTGCACTGAATGGCGAAGACAATATATTCCACCAAATACAGCACACATCCTAGAAGAGAATAGGAAAATGAGAATTAGGATTATTGAGTTGAAAATTAAAGTAACATTATTTTTTAAGTATCTTACATTTAATAACTGGTCTTACAGAAAAAGCACCTTGATAATTTGTTATTTTCTCTATCATGGTATTAAGAATATTTCAGAAATAAGATTAGTGATATTTTGACACAACAGAAGTCCTACTGCTAATAATACATTGTGGAAACCTAGATTGTGCCAAACCAAAAGTATCCCTAAGAAAGCTCAACTATTACCCTCCCGCCTCTACCCAAACCAGCTACCAACTACCTAAGAAACACAGGCTACAAATAGTCTCAAGAGGTGATGTATGAGATCCCCCCTGCAACAGAAGTGATGACAGAGAAGTCTTAAGGAGAAAACAAGCAGGGAAGACTCTGGGGGACTCCTGGTGATTTTGCTTACCATAAAAGTAAGCAAAAACTAAACAGAGAACTGAAATTAGAGCAGTAAGCACATGAGTTAATGCTGGAGAAGCTCTAAGGAGTTAGCCTATCTCACGAATGTAAGGGTTTGTGTTTTAATGCCCACCAAGGGAAAGGAGAGATCTTGGGTTCCAAACAAGGCAGGTAATAGGAAAGTAAATATTCTCTCATAATGTCTTGTTCCTTTAAGGACTACACCTCAGTAAAAGAGTGATCTAGGGAAAAATTACTTACTACAAGAGGGAGAAAACAAACAAAAAATGTTTCCTCTAAAGCCATGGGTGGAGGAAGATTACCTCTATATTTATAACCAGCAGTCTGCCCTCACACAGTTTGAGGGTGTGAAATTACATTACTACGTTACCCAAGAAACCTTGACAAATAAAATAGCATGAAAAGTGGCTCTGGGTCAGTAGTACCCCCAGAGTCTTGGTGGACGCAATATTATCTCAACCCAGGCCAAGTGAGATTGCCACAAATTGAGTCCCCTTACAATGAGTTTATAATCTAAAATTATACAACAGATGAAGAAACATATCTTATCCTGAGTGAAAATTAACAGACATGACAAACAGGAGGATTAGACTCTCGACAACTGTATTCAGATCATAGAACTATCAGACAGAGGCTATGAGTATCCTTAAAAGGGATGAGTTACAAACCTAAGAATAATGGAAAGAAGGTTGTGGTAGGCTGAATAATGCCATCACCAATGATGTTCACATTCTAATCTCTGAAACCTGTGGATATGTTCCTTTACAAAGCAAGAGAAACCAAATTAAGTATCTTGAGGAAAGGAAATTAACCTGATTATCCCAGCAGATGCAATGTAGAAAATTAACTTTCTAGAGAAAGGGAAATTAACTCGATTATCCCAGTGGAAGCAATGTCATTAGAAAGATACTTAAAAAGGAAGCAGGGTGCTCAAAGCCAGAGAAGCTCTAAAGATGGAAGCAGAGATTAAACTGATACCATTGCTGGAAGGGGGTAACAAGGCAAGGAATGCAGGGAGCCTTTAAGAGCTAGAAAAGGCAAGAACCAGATTCTCCCTTAAAGCCCAAGAGGAATGCAGCCCTACCTACCCAATTTAGACCTCTGACCCTAGAACTATAACAAATTCATTTTGTTTTAAGCTACTAAGTTTGTGGAAATTTGTTACGTGAGCAATAGCACACTAATAAAAGATGCATAAGTATACGGACATGATCATGACAGCAGTGGAATTGCAGACCAGTGGAGAAAAGAATGGACTACTGGAAAACTGGTTTTGAGACAATATAGAGAAAATAATTATATCCCTGTTTTACACCATATTCAGAATCAAATCCAGGTAGCTGACAGGCATAAATATAAAAGGGGAAACTTCTAGAAAAAAATATAGGCAGATATATTTTGGGACTCAACAAAAATATTTCTTTAAAAAGATACAAAAATAAAAATCATTAAAAAAATAGAAAAAAAATGGCCCAGATTCCACAATGGTGGCAGAGTAAGTGACAGCTACAGTGACATGTTCCTAGGCCCAAACTAGAATTACAACTAAAATATAGAAAAACCATCCTGAATGATCAGCTGATTACTAGCTGGAGAGAACCACTAAAACCAAGGACAGAAAGTGGAGACCACATAGAGACTGGTAGGAAGTGCGGAGGTGCAGAAGGCTGGCCGGGCTCTCACAGGCAGCAGCTTAAGTTCCAGAGGGATATCTCAGCTGTGGGGGGATCCCACTAAGAATTCTTGGGTCTAAACCCCAAGGTGGGCTCCAAGCCCAGAGCATCAGAACTGAGAAAATTGCCTACAGAACATCTGGCTGTGAAAAGCAGCAGGGGTGCTGTGTGCCAGGGAGAGATGACTCGAAATGCAGGCAGTCTCTTAAAAGGCCAATGCACAAAATTTTGTGTGCAGCCACTCACCTTGGGCTTTGGCAGAAGGAGGGCAAAGGAAGGGAAGAGTGGACTGGAGCAGTGTGAGCAGAAGCCAGGGTTGGGGCTGCTAGGGTTAGAACTTAGAAGGCAGATACCCCGGTTTCCTGTGCTGAGTCATTCCCTCATACATTAGAAAAAAATATTTCTCCAGTGGACCTTTAACTATCCAGGTCTCTTT